CTACACAGCAGTAAAAATGAAGGAACTCTTACCTTTTGTGATAGTATGGATGGACCTGGAGACTATTATGCTGAGTGAAATAAGCCAGTCATGAAGGACAAGCTCACTTTTTCATGCAGTATAATGAAATAAATAAACTAACAAACAAAATAGAATCCGAGGCATAGGAACAGGGAACAGACTGAGATCTCTTAGAGAGAAGAGGTATGTGGGAACTGGCTTAAAGAAGGTGAAGGGAGCAGCCAAAGAACATATATGCATGACCCATGGAAAGGACAATGGTGTGGGTGTTGCCTGAGGGCGTGGGGAGATGGGTGGAAAGGGACAAAGGGGGAAACTGGGACAACTGTAATGGCATAAACAATCAAATAGTTTAAAAAGTTATGAAGATACACTTCATGTTTTATTTAAGGATGTGGTGGACATCTTGAAAAAATAAGAATGTCTGCATCTTTCCCATGTTGGTTTATGTTCTAAAAATTTCACTGTCTTAATTAAATCTGGTACATGAGTAAGTAACAGAAACTTCTGTAAGAAAGACGGCCTAAAGGCTGAGTTAAAGCAAAATTAACATATTAGTTGACATGAACAAAAGACAAAATCATTACTATCTGGAGCTACTAGCTTTCACAGTCTGACATAATTTTGATTTACCCATCACTTAGATCATATATGTTATGTTTCTATATAGTACAATAGATCATTGGAAAGTACTATGTTTATTTGTTTACAAAAACTCAGGCCTGTGTTCAGCAGAGGCCAGGTCATGTTACATTCAATCAGGTTCTTGCCTTTAGCAGATTTACCACTTGTCTTCATTCTGAACTTGAAGAACTTCTAGTCTCTCAGGGCTTCTTTCCACTTTGGGTACTTCACATGCTATTATGTGCAATTCAGACACTTCTTAATTCATTCATACAGCACCTATAGGAAAACATGTTTGATGAAACATTTGTTTGTATTTTGTAAACAAGATATGCTCGTCTCTTCTGAATAGGTATGCATGAAAGGCAGGTTTTGTGAAAAAAAAAATTGTTCTTTGAGAAGGAACACTGTATCTCAGCTCCAAATCTCCTTTTCTCTTGTTTCTCCTTGCTCTGACATAAGACATGGCTCTGCATTCTCTCATACTAAAAGGAAGAGAAACTCACACATGTAGGGTGTGCTCTGAATCAGACATACATATAAATTACTCAGCTTTACCTATACAATGGTTATTACTCTTAGAAGGCAGAGAGGGAACTGAAAGCTAGGGATTTCAAACTGAGCAGGGATATGATTTCAAGGTCAAAAAATCCCAAACGCTGTTCTTTCAAGTACTTCACTCTTCTTGGGTGGAGTTGGAAAGATGTGTATGGCAGGGACAGTTTCCAGGCCCATTCCAGGTCTACATTATTAGAGGACCTGTGTCTCAAATGGTTAAATATGAGACATTGGGTCTTGCTTTCTGAGAATCATGGTATCATCCTAAATAAAAAGCAGGTGAAATGGTTGTTTTGATTATCCTAACAGCACTGTGCAGTCAGTGCAAGCACCTAGCAAAAGAATCTGGGAGGACTAGGTCTAGTTTAATTGGAATATCCAATTAAATTCTACAATATAGTTTCTTTTCACTTTCCTTGACTTATACTAGGAGATTAAAGTGTCCATGAGAACATTTGAACCACACGGTTTAAATTATACATATTATTTGGATTAAGTGGTTATTTCTATCATGAGCTCACTGACAACCCTGCACAAGTCAGTGAGAAAATAGAGTTTCTAAACTTGCATTAGGTTAGAGAGAGAGCAGTGCGAGTTCTCTGCACTGGATCTAAGGGTTTAGGTTGGGGCTCTCCAATGAAAGCCAATTCTAGTCTAAGGCGGTGCCCCTGGGGTTGGCTGGGTTTGTGGTTTACTTTCTGGCCGGTGAAGCCATGGTTCCCAGGGTCTCCTGTCTCTTTTTTCAGATCTAATATCATGGGAAAAAACTAAAGAATCCTCAGATTTTGTCACCTCTTTTTCTCTTGTTACTAGAGGAAGTAAAAGATGTAGAAAAATGAAGAAAACACCATCTGTTTGATAAAACATCCTTGCCATTGTGTTCAATGATATAATACACCTTTGTACTTTCCTGAGACAGGAAAGTTCATGGAGAAAAATACTACAAATTGTGGGAGTTGGGGTGAGGGAGTGAGATTAGAATCAATAATTGTGTTCTGGATACTTATTAGACATCCAAGAAGGGAGGTTTTCAGTTGCAATGTCATGGTGTAGATTGTTGTTACTACTGTTGTATTTGTTGTTTTCAAGTTGTGGCTGCTAAGACCTTGGACGTGAAAATGTCTCAAATCACTCTAACAGTGTAGAAAGCAGGTCAGGGCGATCAAGTTTAGAACCAAGTGTATAACCATGCAGTTAGGGTAGGTGTCAGGTGTCAGAGTGAAGAGCAGGAAATTTGAAACTTGGTTTAGCACATTGTTCTGTAACAGGCAAACATTTACAAATATATTAATGAAAAACCAAACTCTATCTCCTACATGCCCACACATCTGATGTGTATGCCAGGAAACTATTCCAGTTCTTGGGTATTTCTGAACTGATAGGATACTATAGAAATGAAGGGGAGTAAGCAGCCAAGGGGAAACAACATGGAGATAGAAGGAGCTTGGACTCCATCCCCTGCTGAGCTTTATCTCTTCTCAGCAGTGTGAAGTCGCATACTTTGCCTACATAGCAGACTGTATCAAGTTCTGGGGACCTTACTTTGGAAACAAGGTATAGTTAGTTGCTATAGCTTCCTTTTTGAAAGAATTACAATTTTGCTAAAGAGTTTCCACACAGACCATTAGAGAGGCACTGGACTGAAAATCTGTAACCTAAGTGGAGCCCTACCTCTGTGGTTAACTAGCTTTGGACAAGTCACTTGCCATCTCTGAGGCGGCCCCAGCTTCCTCATTTCAGTGTAGGCACTATGCTGAATATGTCCTAAGAGCCATTCCTGTCCCAAGAGTTTATGAATTTATGATTAAAGGCATTAAAAGGTATGTTCTGGTTGTTCAAGTGTAACTGGCATTGAGAGTTAATAACAGAGAAGGTTTTTTTACAGGTCCCTTGTGACTCTGTGACATTGTGAGATCCCAGCAGGCACAGTAGTAGGTGGCTTCATCGGACTTGACTACATTATTGATTATCAGGTAAAAGATGCCATCTTCTTTCCTGTATGTCTCCAAGCGGGGATTGAGCTTGTCATCCTTGTTATTCTTGGTTGAGCCATAAAGGATTCGTCTCAGGGGCTCCCCTTCTTTTTGTTGATACCAGTGCACAATGGCATTTTCGAGGGGAAGCCCAGAGAGCTTGCAGTTTATGTGCACTGTTTTATCTGGTGTCCGGGTAAAGGAGAGCTGATCCTGAGATATTCTCATTTTGGTGTCTCCATCTGAAAAGCAAAGAGGGGAATTCAGAGGCACTTGAAAAAGTTGACCCTGGAGATAAAAACAATGAAAAGATAAGTAAGGGTAAAAGTCAACCTACAAACCCAAACCAAAGACACAAGGAAAATCCATGGGTTCGGCATTGCCAGTGACTAGTCAGAGTGGACACTCCGAGGGGTGTTAATCAAAACCAGGGGTACAGTGACCACTGTTGTTCTGCAGAGGCAGTGACAGGGGAGGAAGCCTTGCTTTATAACCCAGGAAAGTCTTTCTCAGTAAAATCTGTCGCAGTGTTATTTTATCATGTTCCTGGTATTCAGGATCTCTCAGGTCTCAGAATACCACATCAAAACACCTGTGTTATAATAATTCAATAACTTCCTCTTGAGAGCAATTTCCTCCCATTTTTCCTTAAAGTGTTGCTTCAAACATACATTTCCTTGAGCTCAGTTATAGATTTTTTTTAAACCATATTTTGTGTGAGTGTGTGTAGCTATTTTATGGCTAACATAAGAATGGAAAGTATCATTACTTTATAACCACTAATAAAATCATCTTTCCACATATGTATGTAGAAATATGAACATATTCTAGATCATTTGCAGAAAATTTACAAAGTTTAGTAAATATTAACAATTATTGTAGGTATTTCTTTAAATACTATGATGCTATTATATTCTGCTGTGAGCGAAGAAGGATGTTGGAGAAGAAAAATCTTGTTTGCTTTCTTCCACTCTTTTCCTATTCACAATTCTTAGCTATTCAGAATTAACATTCTACTGTTGTTTGGAGGACAATGTAAGATATGATTTCTAAAGAGTTCCATTTTTTTTCTGGCCAAGATGGAGGCATAGGTAGATATACTTTGCTGTCTTGCACAATCAAAAGAAAGACAACAACAAATTTAAAAACAAAAATTAACCAGAACTGCCAGAAAATTTAACTGTATGGATGTCTGACAACCAAGGAGTTAAAGAAGAAACATTCATTTGGACTGGTTGGAGGGGCGGAGATGGGCAGCCGGGCAGAGAGGATGCATGGCAAGGCAGTGGCTGGAGGACTGTGTGGCCCCACATTTGCTTGTGGGTAAACCTGGAAGAACAACTGGGGAGTGAGACCAGACCATGCAACCTGGGGTTTCAGTGCGGGGAAACAAAGCCCTAAAACCTCTGGTTGTAAAAACCTATGGGGGTTGTGGCAGGGGGGGGGAGAAACTCCCAGCCTCACAGGAGAGTTCATTGGAGAAACCCACAGGGCCCTAGAATGTACAGAAACCCACCCACCTGGGAATCAGCACCAGAAGGGCCCAATGTGCTTATGGATAGTGGGGTAAGTTACTGAAAGCCAGGCGAGAGCCAAGCAAGTGGCATTGTTCCCTCTCAGACACCTCCTTCACAAACAGCACCACAACACAGCAAACTGGGTTGCCCCACCTTGGCGAATACTTAAGGCTCCACCCCTTACAATGAAATAGGCATGCTGAGACAAAAATATATGTGGCCCAAATGAAAGAACAGATCAAAGCTCCAAATATAGAACTAAGTGATGAACAGATAGCCAACCTATCAGATGCACAGTTCAAAACACTGATAATCAGGATGCTCACAGAAATGGTTGTATATGGTTGAAAAATGGAGGAAAAAATGAAGGCTATGCAAAGTGAAATAAAGAAAAATATACAGGGAACCAACAGTGAAGGGAATTAAACCAGGACTCAAATCAATGACTTGGAGCAGAAGGAAGAGATAAACATTCAACTAAAATAGAATGAAGAAACAAGAATTCAAAAAATGAGTAGAAGCTTAGGAACCTCTTGCACAATTTTAAACCTTCCAACATCCAAATCATAGAGATGCAGAAAAAGAAGGAGAAGAAAAGCAAGAAATTGAAAACTTATTAGAAAAAATAATGAAGGACAACTTCCCCAATCTGGCCAAGGAAATAGACTTCCAGGAGATCCAGGAAGCTCGGAGAGTCCCAAAGAAGTTGACCCAAGGAAGCACACACCAAGGCACATCATCATTACATTACCCAAGGTTAAAGATAAGGAGAGAATCTTAAAAGCAGCAAGAGAAAAGGAGAGGGTTACCTACCAAGGAGTTCCCATAAGACTGTGAGCTGATTTCTCAAAAGAAACCTTGCAGGCAAGAAGGGGCTGGAAGGAAGTATTCGAAGTCATGAAAAGCAAGGACCTAAAACCCAAATCACTATATCCAGCAAAGTTATCATTTAGAATGGAAGGGCAGATAAAGTGCCTCCCAGAAAAGGGAAAGTGAAAGGAGTTCATCATCACCAAGCCCTTATTATATGAAATGTTAAAGGGACTTATCTAAGAAAAGAAGATCAAACACTATGAACAGTAAAATGACAACAAACTCAAAACTATCAACAACTTAACTTAAAAAGACCAAAAACCAAAAATAACCTAAGCAAATAACTAGAACAGGAACAGAATCACGGAAATGCGGATCACAGGGAGGTTTATCAGTGGGGAGGGGTGGGAAGGGGATAAGGGAAAAATACAGGGAATAGGAAGCATAAATTGTAAGTACAAAATAGGCAGGGGGAGGTTAAGAATAGTATAGGAAATGGAGAAGCCAAAGAACTTATATGTTCAACCCATGGGCATGTACTAAGGGGGAGGAGAATTCTGTTGGGATGGGGATGTGCAGGGTGGAGGGGAATAAAAGGGAGAAAACAATGGGACAACTGTAATAACATAATCAATAATATATATACATATACATATATATATAAAGAGAAATAGATATCTGTGCCTTCCTGTAGCCCATCCCACAAATAAAAACTTTCTCTTTGCAAAAAAGCAAAACAAAACAAAACGTAACAAAACAAAAAGTTCCTAAGATGGCTCAGTGAAGTGGTTTAGTGATCATGGGGAAAGACATTGTGATTTGTTGAACACAATGTAAAAACTTTCATGCATGAAAACCCATGCAGTTCTCAGCAACCTTATCAGGGTGTTAACATTTTGACCACTTAAAATTGGGAAAACAGAATGAGCCCAATTTAGTAACTTTCCTGGATTATGCTGTCAGTAAGAGACTGAGCAGAAATTTGAAACCTAGGTCTATGTCACCCAAAAGCCCTTATATCTACCATCATTCATTCATTCATTCAAAGTCAACAAACCATGTTGAGCACTGGATTATGGCTTCTTTTCAAGGAGGCTCCCTTCCCATAGATGGTGAAGCAGAGACAATTTAGGACACTTAGAAAAGCCAGCATAGGCCCCAGAGAGGTGAGCATAGATGATAAAATGACATTACTGAAAGGACCATCATAAATTGGCTCCTAGGACTCTAGCTCAGCCCTTGCTCAGGACACAGGTACAGGAGAAAAGTCCTCCAGTTACTAGGAGGCCCCTGTGGGTGGCAGAAAGGAGGAAGGGTGTGTTTTTGCACAGATGGCACAGCACGGGAGGGTTTTCGTTCAGCGACAGTGAGGGTTTCCATGCAGTGTATTCCACCCAGCAGGCACAGTAATACAGGCCAGCATCTGCCTTCGTCACTTGGTGTATCCTGAGGCTGGCCAGCAAATTACTCTGCTGTTTCCTTGCTTCATATCTTTCCTCACTAACTCCTCGATCATGGATAACATTGTCATTTGAAGAAATATACAGAATTCGTTTGAGTGGCTCGTCTGGCTTCAGTCGGTACCAGTGTATATATACATTCTTCCTTGAGATATCTCTTATTTGGCATTCAAGAAATGCTGTGTTTCCTTCTTTCTTGGTAATAGATGTTATGGATTGTGTTATTTGAGTGTCTCCAGCTGTGTCTGAAAGAAAAACAAAAGCAAAAATTAGTGAAATTTTGACATGCATTAAAACTACATATTTGTTCTCTGATAATGAAAATCTTGAAATCTGCAGTTTCCATTTTCTTCCTGAAAAATTCAAGGTGTGGTGGAATCTGTCAGTTTAGTTTGAATGACCATGTGACTTTCTCCCACCTTCATGGGTTACTTGAATGTCCAGGCTTTTTATTGCCTCCCTTTGAATCAATAAGATTCGAGTAAATAAGATTTACTCTACTGAGTAAAGCCACTCACAAGTCCAAAGGTAGGCCACCACGACGACCTGGGGCAGGAGCAGCATTCTGCCAGCCCTTGGCTGTTGAGGAGGTTGAATAATGGGATGATCGTAGAGCAAATCCAAGGGCGAATTTACTAAGAGGAAGTAATGCACTGAACACACAGCTAAGACCCAGAAGCTACAGTAAAAGGGGTTAGAGGTATTTCCCCAAAACATCCTGTGGAAATGGGTCTGCTAATGAAATTCATCAGCAGATTTCTGTCATTACTGTGTGATTGTCACCACCAATGATATTATTGTAAGGAAGCCTTTTTCTTTTCTTTTCTTTTTTTTTTTTTTTTGGTTAAAGAACTAAAGTCCTTTATTGGTCCAAAACAGAGATGGGGAGATGGACAGATGGAGGGAGGAGGAGGGATAGGGAGAGATAAAGAAGGATATTTTTGTTGAGTTACCAGTTTGTTTTTTTAAAATACTTTAGAAACTTCCCTGCAAAGTCTCCTTGGTTGCTTGTTTCTGATGGAGGTCTGCTATTTTTTTCTCCTCTAGCTGCCTTCAAGAATTTTTCTTTGTCTTTGTCTTTGGTCCCTACCACTAAGTCTGGAAGACTTTAAGCCATTATTTCTTCAAATATTTTTTTTCTCCATTTTGTATTTCTTCTGCTTTTGGATTGTAATTACAAGTGTGTTTGAAAACTGGATATTGTCCATTGTTCCATACTTTTATGATGTATGATTATATGCTCTGTCTCTTTCTTTACCTCATCTCCTTGCATTGCAATGTGGGGAAATTCTAGTGGCCTGTCCTCCCATTAACAAATTCGTTCCTTATCTACTGAGTCTACTGTTGAGCCCTTCTGAGGCATTCTGCATTTCTGTTACTGTGTTTTTCTTTGTTTTTTTTTTTTAAATAATTACCATCTCTCTGTTGCAATTACCTACCTGATATAACATGTTGCTTTACCTTTTCCATTAGAGCCTTTAGTACATTAATCATACTTATTTCAAATTCCCTGACTGTTAGCTCCGACATCTGTGTCATGTGTCAGCCTGGCACTAATGATTGCTTTGAGTCTTTAGACTGATTTTCCTCTTGCCTTTTTTGTGCCTCTGAAATTCTTGGTTGGAATATGAACATGTATGGTACAGTAGATGCTGAGGTAAATATATTTTATGCTTGGAAATGAGCACACCTTTCCTTCTGCTAGGACTTTAGTGTGGGGATTTGTGGTATTCTAATCAGGAATTATACCAATTTTGAGGTTGGTTTGATTATCAGAGTTGGAGCTTGCTGTTTTTAGGGTGCAGAGATTTAAACTTTGTGCGGTCATTCTTTGTTTTTGTCTTCTCACTTTTTGAGTCTTCCCTTTGCTCTGCTCCCCAGAGAAAGTCTGTCTCTTGAAGCACCGATAGCTATATTCCAGTGATTTTTATTCACAATTTCCTGCATGCTGGTGAGAGTTGAGGAAAGTGGATATTTTCTGACCCAGTTGTAAACAGGTGCAGTAAAACTGGGTGTTGAAAAAGGGGCCTTCATAAATGTTCCTGCCCCTCTCCCAGAGGCAGCACACTCTGACCCATGTTCCTTAGCCCAGCTGCAGTAGGTACCCACCCACTTCACACTGTTTTTTCCCCTCATAGAAATATTTATTTATTTATTAATTAATAAATATATTTTTATTTTTTATTGCATTTTTCCCAATACCACTTTGATGCCCATTTTCCTGCCGATGAAAAGTTATTACTTTGTGGAATTAGAAGAGATGGTTCCAGGCAAAGTTTTCATTGTGCCTTCCCCTGCAGATTAGGTCTCTGTTTCTCCTCCAGCGGAGACGGAGTGGATGAGGTCTGGGTGGATTGCAGCAGCAGCTCTGTCCCCCATCTGCGGCCAGCACTATCGGTGGAGCTTTCTCCAGATTCTCCCTGATCTTCTGTGTAGGAATCCGTGGACGGAGAAAAAGCTTAAAAGATAGTGGAAAATACCCTATATCTGTGATTCCTAAGTGTTCACACTCTGTACCTGTCTATACTCAGGTCTTATTATTTTAGTAAATATTTCTATTTAATCTTTGACCAGCTTAATTGGTGATGGGCAGCATGTGTGCGAGGTAAACAAATGCTTAGCTCATGTTTCTCCCTAAAGTGTCTCTTTGCCTCCAGATTTTGAGTCACATTCCCTGCAACTCAGTTCTGTGCAAGTTCAATCTGTGCAAGTCATTAAGTTTTAGTTTGTCCCTTTTTTATGTTGTTGTAAGAGGGTGCGAGGTCATTTCCCCCTCTCTATATCTCTGAGCACATGCTGGTCCTCTTTCCCATTTTTTAATTGCATTGCTATTTAAATTGAGTTGTGAAAGCTCTGTATGTATTTTGACACCATTCTTGGTTTGTTTTATTTTATTTTTTGACATGTGTTTTGAGAATGTTTTCTCCTAATTTGTAGCTTCTTTTTTTCCATTTTTAATGTCTTAAAAATAGCAGAAATATTAATTTTTATGAACATGGAATTTATATGTGGTTTTTTTTGTAGTAAAAAATATTTGTCTAATCCATGGTCACAATAAATTTCTCCTGTATTTTCATCTAGAAGTTTTATCACTTTCAGTTTTATATAAGTCCTGTAATTCATTTCAAGTTCATTTTTGCTTATGGGGTTGGTATGGATGGAGGGTTTTTTTTTTTCTTCAAATAGATGAACAATTGTTCTAATACTCTTTGTTGTAAAGTCTATCCATTATTCATTTTTGTATTTACCTAGCACCTTAGATAAAAATCACTTAACCACATATTCGTAGGCCTACTTCTGGTTTCTCTTTTCTGATTCTTTTATCTATGTTTCTGTCTTTTTCAGCAATATCCCACTGTCTAGATCATTGTATCTTAAGAGTATATCTGAGATTTTAATCTTTTCAAAATTGTTTTGGCTATTCTATGTCTTTTGCCTTCCCATATATATTTTAAAACCAGCATCTTGATTTCTATAAAAGGTCTTCCTGAGATTTTGATTAGGATTACATTAAGTTTATTTATCTTTTGGGGGAAAATTTGAGATTTTAAATATACTGAGTCTTCCAATCCATGAACATGGCATCTCTCCATTTATTTGGTTGTTCTTCAAGTTCTGTCATCAAAGTTTTATAGTTTTCAGCATATAAATCCTTGGTATCTTTGCTTAAATTTATTTCTAAATATTATATAGGTTTTTGTTACTATTGTAAATAGTATTATTTTTAAAATTTAAATTTCCAACTGTTAATGGTCAGGACTGTTGACCCTTGAACAACACAGATTTAAACTGCATGGACCCATGGGTTTAGTATCCACAGATTCAACCAAAGGTTGATCAAAAATAGCATTTTCAGCCTGCAGTTGGGAGTCAACAGATGCAGAGGGCTGACTCTATGCATTGTTCTATGTTTTTTAAAATAAGGAATTTGAGCATCCACAGATTTTGGTATTTGTAGGGGGCCCTGAAACCACTGCCCCACTGAAACCAAAGATAGACAGCAGTTGAGTTTTTGGGGAGTCAAAAGTTACAGAATTTTTTACTGTGTAGGGCATCAAATCCCCTAACTCCCATGTTGTTCAAGGGTCAACTATATATAGAAATATGAATAATTTTGCATCTCTCATTCTATTTCAGAGCTGTATATACTCCATTATGCATGTGCTATCATGTATTCAATCTCCTATGTTTATATATTTATGTGATTTCCAATATTTTGCAGTCACACAATGATTAATATTAGTATATATATTTTTATATTGTTGAAAGTTGTGCATTTGGGGTAAATTTCAAAAGATTTTTTGCTTGGTGAAAAACTAAGTGCATATGAAGTTTTTTTAGATATATCCAAATATCTCTACAGAAAGTTGTATTTTGTATTTTTGCCAGCAATGCATATTATTTTTCTGCATTGATTAACCAGCAGAGTACAGTGTCAAACTTTTAAATTCTTGCAAATCTCATGGATGAGAAATAGTATCTCAAAGTAGTATTGATTTGCATTTACCTTACTATAAGTGAAGATGAGCATTTTTATATGTTTAAGAAATATTTTTATATCACTCTTTATGAATTGGCCTTTTATGTCTTTTCCCATGTTCATATAGGATATTTTCAATGTTTCTTCTCCATTTTAAAAATGTAGTTTTCATGTCAGTGATAGTAGGGTTTCATCGGCTAAACAGCTTGCAAATATTTTCCATAGTTTGTGATTTGTTCTTTGATTCAGCTTATGTTGCTTTTTACCATTCAAACTTTGCTTTCATTTTCATGTACTAAAAGTTACCATTATTTTCTCTTATTACATCTTTGAGTTTTTTCTATAGTTAAAAACTCACTCCCTAACTTCATGGTACACAACGGAGGCTGGCAAATGTTTTCCGTAGGTTGTCAGATAACATATTTTAGCTTTGTAACCATAGATCTATGCTGTGATTACTCATCTCTGCTCCTATAGCTGCTCCAAAGCAGCCATAGACAGTATGTAAATGTATAGGTGTGGCTGTGTTCCAGGAATGTCAAGGACAGATATTCTGTTAGAAAATGTCCTACCAGCAGGGTTTCTTTTTACATTTATTTCTGTTAACTCAAAAAAATAGTAAAATAATGTTATTGCTTTTTGTTTTACACTTTGAAAGTCAAATGGGCATGATATCTATACTTATTCTAGATAGACAACATTTAAACTCAGACTCAGCTTAGAATAGTAATCTGTTTCAGTAATTATTTTTTGAATGAGAGTTTTTCCTCTTTCACTGTAGGAACTACAGACTAGATGCCATTTCTATTGCCTGTGTTTCAGATGCAGGTAGCATGCCAGTTGCAAGGACAGTCATTGAAGCCAGAAGCCCAGCCCTTTATCCACCCTTAGTATCTCAGTGACCACAGACAAAGTAAATAACATCTCTATGCTTCTGTTTCCTCATCTGTAAAGGGTGAATCATGATAGTATGTCAACAGATTCTCACAAACATGAGATGAATTAGAACAGTGCCTGAGAAAGAGTGGCAGCCCGAAGTGAATGACCACTATGATCCTCCCAGGATCCCAGCAGGATTCTAGGGAAGTGGACCCTGATGAGTATCCACCCTGTCATGTGATCATCTCATGATCCCAGGGGACGTGAGGCCTGTGCAAAAGTGTGTTGGTCAGGCTGTGACACATCCCTCAATATGGAATGGATAATCTTCCTCTCCGAGAGGAAAGGGCAGGCGCTCCATCCTATATCCACCGCAAAATGTATGGAGTAAATAAACACTGAACACCTTTAGGATGGCCTGGCAGAGTTGAAGCAGTGTGGGGTTTCAGGTTTTGAAAGTAATTTTTATCTCTCTAACCTATTATTAAAAGTAAAGTGGAAAAATGATCATTACATTGCAAGTGTGTTGTGATGGTCACATAAGATATAATATCACAGGCATCTTTCCTGGCACTTGATTTCCTCTTTGAGCCTGCGCCATACCATTTCCATTATGAGTAATCCTTGTAGCCAAAAAAATAGTACACGACTCAAGTTCTGTGGGGAGGGAGGCTCAGGCTGGGTGCCCAGATGTGCAGCCTCTGCGGTCGCCCATATTGAGAAGGATGTGTGTGGGCACAGACTGAGGGTGGTTCTTGCACTGGTATCTTGGCAACTCTAACGTTGTGCGTGCTAGTCCAGCAGGCACAGAAGTACACGGCCTCATCTTGTTTCTCTAAGAAATTTATTTTCAAGGTGGAAGTGGAAGTGTGAAGATCTTTACTTGCTTCAATTTTATTGTTTTTCCCACGAGTAGGGGTTGATGAGTGAGCATATATTAAATGTTCTATACTCTGATCTGGTTTCTGCCGGTACCAGTGTATGTAGTCTGTGCTAAAGGTGCTAGAAGACACGGTACAAGATATATGGGCAGTCTTATCTCTTGCCCTGGAAATTGATATATCACGTTGCTCCAACTTTAACTGCCCAAGGCCACCTGTAAGCAAAAATAATTAAATAGATTTTCATGAACAAATGACACGTAAAGGTGTAAAAATAAAGGATTTCTTTGGTCTCTCTCTAACAAATGATGGGGGAACTCACAAGCCCAGAAGGAGAAGAAGAGGACGGCTTCCAGTAGCGACATCCTGCACACCAGGCTGGCTCCCCAGGGAGAAGGTAAGAAACTGTGGTCTCTGTTAGCAGACCAGTGTCAGGAGGGCAGGGCTGGGTCTGGTTTCTAGCAGGAAGTCATGGCTCAGACAGTTCCCTGCGGTTCTTCATGGTCTTCTACAAATATGAGCCGTTCTAGGGCTTCCTGTGGCCCATGAGTGCTGGGAAGATTGGGTAAGAGTGTGGGATCCTGGGAGAGATATGTCCATTTTGGGGTGAGGCAGAGACAGTTCTCATACCCACTCAGCCATTCCCTGGGGAATATCAGGCCATGGAAACATTACTTCAGAAAAGTGAAGACATACCTGCTGTGTTTAGACCTATGTCTATCTTTCTGTGATTTGCTATGGATTCAGGACCTCGGTATGAAACTTGACCTTTATTTTTCTTTACCACAACATAAAAATCAGACACTGCAATACCTCACTAACATGATGCCATATGCACAAGCACTGAAGAATTTCTGTGTTTTTTAAAAAAATTAATCTATGTGTTACCACGCAGATTATGACTCACAGCAACCAAACTTCATTTACCATCTGGGTACCTTTTAGAAGGGGCTGGACTGCAGTTGCTGGCAGGTAGAGGAGACAGAGCAATCTGGGAGACTCAGCTTCCCATTCTGGACCTCGGAACTGTCTCATGAATACTATGCCACATGCAGGAGTATTTTCAAAGTCATGTTATATTTAATATGTAACAATAAGCTTTCAAATTAATATAGTCTCTAATATCCATTGAAGAATTGTTATTTGTAAGACAATATTCTAAATGTTTACTTATTTTACTTAATCCTGTCTACAACACTCCTGTGAGGTAGCTGTTATGATAACCTCCATCTGGTGACAAGAACAGTGGCAAAGAGAAGTGACTTGAAGACCCAGATGTGGGAAATAGGAGAACGCAATAGTTGTTCAGTAAAGAAAGTCTGAGTAAAATGAGGTATAAAAAATGACAGAACAAGGTACCCATACTTTACTGTTACTTTGAATATTTCTCTACATATTTATGGATAGAAAGAGGATTGCTTGGTATTATATATAAATAAACATTTTAATGGAATTTGAATATTTGGCTTTTTATTCCCTTTTTTCAGTTAACTTATTTCTCACAAGGGAGAAAAATATGAATGTTCCCAGCAGTGACATCTCACTGTCTGCCAGACTATGTCACCAGGGAGAAGGCAGGAAAGTGAGGACTCTGGTTGGAGTGTCCAGGGCGGGGGGAGGGGGTGTGAGAAGAGGAAGCGGTGGGACAGGTGGCCCCATGGGGCCTGTGTGGCCTGATGCAGCCTGAGCCGTGTCAGGGTTCTGATGACTCAGTTGTGCTGAACTGACCGGGAATACGGGTCACGACCTAGACAGGCATGTGACTGTGGGCTGGGGAGAGGCAGGTCTGGAGGTGACTTAATTCAGCTTTAAACTTACCTGTTCCCTCCTTAATTTTCACGCTACAGAAACATTATTCCAGAGCTGTGAGGGTGTAGCTTCTGTGTCATAAAATTAAAATTGGTCCCTTTCTTAATTTGTTTGGATTCAGGGCCTGGGTGTATGAAACACTGACAATATTTCACAATTTTTTAAAAGGTAACCAAAGTTTCAAACTGACACTTATTCATGCCTTATTTTAAAAGTCATAAGCATTTTAACTTGGAATACAATGGAGCATTTTGTTTTATAATTAATCGGGATGTTGCCATACAGATCTGAAACTCAGAGAAATGAAATTTCACTTATAATCTGGGTGCCCTCAAGGGGAGACAGAACTGAAATTGCTAGCACAACGTCAGATAGCACAATCTGTGAGAATGGGACCAGCTTCTACTTGCCTGGGACCTTGTAACAGTTTTGTGAACACTATGTCACAGAGACATGGAAGGTTATTTTAAATTAATGCTCTTTAAAAAAAAAATTCTCTCCTGAGTATATACTTATTGATTTTTGAGGCAGAAGAAGGGAGGGGAGAGAGAGAAACATTGATGTGAAATAGCAATCAGTAGCCTCCCGTATGCACCCAAACTAAGGATCAAACCCACAACTTAGGTATTTGCTGTGACTGGGGCTCAAACTTGCAACCTTGTGGTGTATAGGATGATGCTCCAGCCAACTGAGCCATCCAGTCAGGGCTTATGTCCATTTTTATATGTGATAATAAGCCTTCAACATTCATATATATCTAATATCTATTGAGAATTTGATAGCACTGCTTAAATGTTTTCCTGTATTATTTCACTTATACAACACATAACCAATCTTTTAGAATTAGTGGTATTATTATCTCCTTTTGATAGATGGAACAGTGTGGCAAAGGTGACTTGTCCCAAGTCACAAAGCTGGTGAATGTGGGAGGTTGGATAAGTTACAAATGCTCCTTGAAGAAAATTTGAGTAAATGTTTTATAGAATGTTAAAAAATAAAATCTCTTGTCATTTACTTTTAATTGTTTTTTCCACTCTTTTATACATAAGTAGTATGTTGGCTTGGATCATTACACATTTTAAAAAATATTTTAAATTGTAAAATATATTCACTATATTTTTATTTTAAATTTTGCTGATAGAGTTTTATAGTTTTTTTATTAACTTTATATTTTGAAAACATATAATTTTTCAAAATATATGTCCTTAAAAATTTATGTGACTATCGCCCTGGCTCAGTGGACTGAGTGCTGGCCTGTGAACCGAAGGGGTTGCCAGTTCGATTCCCAGTCAGGCCACATGCCTGGGGTGTGGGCCAGGTCCCCAGTAGGGGGTGCACAACAGGCAACCACACATTGATGTTTCTCTCCTTTTCTTTCTCCCTCACTTCCCCTCCATCTAAAAATACATAAGTAAAATCTTTAAAAAAATATTATGCGACCATCATTATAAATGACCTATGAAAATAAGCACCCCCCTCTACTACTTACCTACCCTTTCTGGCATTGACTGAATTACTTAATCTCTCTGTGTCTCAAGTCCTACATCTCTAATTGCTTAAATAAATATTTTTCACATACTTAAGAAAGGTACTTTATCAAACTAAAAATGAGAATGAACATAAAGTATATATAGTGTCTGGCACATAATAAGCCTATTCTTATGTTTTCAAGTTGTGTTTTTATTATTATTGAAAAACCAGAGAAAATGAACTTATAAATAATATTTTAATTGTAAAATTCTCATAGTCTTTTTGTAAAAGTGTATAAAATCAATGAAAGTACAAAGAAGAAAATAACCCATCCAGAAATAAAAACATCTGTCTTAAAACAGAACTATTTCCTTTCATTTGATTTCTTCCACCAATTAGACATTTATATATTTGAGATTTAATGTATTCTCATTTGTACTTTATATTTTTTGATTTATAAGTATAAACTATTTAACTTTTAATAAATCTTCAAATTGCCCTCTTAATGCCTTAATAATATTCTATCTTTTGAAAGCAGCATAAACTATTTGCCCTTTTTCTTTTGTTGAGGGAACATCACTAATTTTTTTCTGAGTCATACTGAAAAGCTGTTATAACATTTATTTCCTGATATGTATTTCTCTGAAGACACTATATTCCTAAAGGATACTGTTCTCTGTACATTAGCAAAGATATTTTGAGGAGATACACACTTTGCATGCTTTCCTTTTGGAAATGGATCTTCTCACATGCGATGTTTGCCACTTAGGTTCTGGTCTCTAATGTCCTTGCATAAAATATATACGGGACTACGGAGGTTTTGTTTAGGCTCAAGAACACAACATTGCCACAACTTAGATGCTGTCATGGTCACAAACAGTGTTGGTCTCTGTGTAAATCAATGAATTCTGAGTGTAGTAGAGGTGGGAGAGAGCTGATGGATCATGTCTAATTCCATCTCCTGAGTCTGCCTGGCCTGAAAATTACTCTGTTTTCCCTTCCAGCACATCTCAGAATGAAGTAGTAGACTGTGAATCATTGAAATAGAGACAAGAGAGAATAAACATGTTGACTTTATTTGGGTAAGTTTTAACTAAGGTGAGCAGTGTGTATAGGAAACTTAATGGAGATAGCTATATTCTTAAAGAAACCCACTATAGACACTACTTTTAGAAATTGAAAATAAGGACCTTTGTATTGTTTTACATTAAAAAGTCAACTGATAATTTATTGCATTTAATTTATTCTGTAAGGACACCGAATCACTCAAACCCTGGGCACATGCTTTAGCAGACATTGATAAATTGGGTCAGTAAATGTCCCATGATTATTTCTGTTTTCCATGAGGGGATGGGAATAGTGTATTCTTCCTTTTATTGTCTTGCAGTTGGAAAGGTTTTAGTGTAACAGACAAGAGGAGCCAGATTATCTGGGTTCCAACCGTGCTCTGCCAACTAGCTACATATCAGCTGTGTGTCTTGAACAAGTGGGTGAATCACTTAGTAGTTCACTTACTGCATGAGTCAAATATGCTTGGTGATAACAGAACAGATGTATAGGTTGTGTGAGTTAAAGGAGCTAATATATTAAAAGAATTGAGAGCATAAACTGGCAACTCACACACACACACACCCTGCCCAACCCAAACCCATAAACAGCACACACCGTGAGTTCTTTGGATCATGGCAGGTTCCCTCTTTGTTTACAGGCAAAATCAAGGGTTATCTGATATGGTGGGCTCATCAAAACATTCCCAATGAATTAGGAGCTCTGGTCTGATGACATCATTCTGGCAGAAACCTTTTCCCCCACACCTCCCAGAAAAAATGACATTGCTCCATCCCTAATTTACTCCAGATACCCTCGTGTTTACTTAAAATACTGAATCCTTGAACTTAATGTTGTGGTCTCCTAGTCCAGTTCAAAAAGCATGAACTTCTTGTCTTTGGCTGATCTTTAAGCCTAAATTCTATAAGCTTAATTTTTTTTCATTGAAAAACAGACCAATAATAGTTACATTGCCAAGGGGTTGTCTTGAGTATGCATGACAGTAATGGTTTCCACCATTCCTTCTCTCAGCCTGAAACTTTGACCACTTGCTGAG